CCCTTAAGTCTCAAGTTGACAACAGATTATGTAACTACCACAAAACTCCTGGAACATGTGGGCCCTAATCCTACATAGTCGGTGCCATTATAAAAAGAGAAGTGACAAGGATATTGGGAGTGGGAGGTGGCCAGGTGATGGAGGAGGCTGCAAGCCAAACACACAATGACTGAAAGCAGCATGAGAGTTTTCTCCCAGAGCCCTAAACAATTATTCAATATGGCTAAGACCTTGGCTTGGATTTTTGGCTTCCCAAACGGAGACAATAATTTTTTCATCTTATAAGTCATGCAGCTTGTGTTCCTTTATTACAGCAGCCCTAGGAAACCCAAGCGCCCAGTGATCTCTTCTGTCTGTCTACTTCTCTGTCAGGGGAGTGAGGGTGAGGGCAAAAGATGAACTTTCATGGTCTGCATTGTACAGTTTGTTTGGAAATTTACAATAACACCAAAAGAAACCTGATTTGGGGAACTTAAAAAATGCCTGAAGAATTAGAAACAGCCATGGTAGTTCGATATGCTCAGTTTTGATTAAAATGGCTTGCAGCCGTGTCTAGCTTTCGCCATCGCTCTAAGGTATGAGTGAAGTCAGAAGGGTTCATCTTTGTATGACCACAGTCTGGGTGCCTTACAATAGAAATGTGTTCTATCCCAGTTCGAAGGGAGAGAAGGAAGCACAGGCATCACAGGACCACTCTCTCTCTGAAGGCTATGGGGTGTGTGTGTGTGTGTGTGTGTGTGTCGGGACTTACAATAGAAATGTGTTCTATCACAGTTCGAAGGGAGAGAAGTAAACACAGGCATCACAGGACCACTCTCTCTCTGAAGGCTATGGGGTGGTGGTGGTGGTGGTGGTGGTGATGGTGTGTGTGTGTGTGTGTGTGTGTGTGTCTGGGGGTGGGGGGGGGGGGTGGGCGGGATCCTTTCGTGCCTCACAGCTTCTGGTGGTCTCAAATTCTCCTTCACTTCGGGCTGCACAACTCTAATCTCTGCTTGACTCTATTCACTTGGCCTTCTCAGGGGGCCTTTGTTCTCTCCTAAGTACATAGTTAAGAGTCCAGAATAGCCCCAAAGGGGCATACTTGACTGCTCATAGGTTGGTTGTTTGAATCACTCGGTGACTTTAGGGGAAAAGACTGCTAATCTTCATATCAAAAGGTTGATAATTCCACAAATAAGACAGCTGAATAAACCTGAAGCAGTTCTCCTATGAACCACATGTGATCACCATGAGTCAGCATTTACTCCACAGGCAAAAGTTAATAGGATTTAGAGCCCACCTTAAATCCAGGATCATTTCTTTATAAGGTTCTTAATAAATTATACCTGCAACACCCTGTTTCCAAACGAGGTCACATTCTGAGGCTCTGAGTGGACATGCATTCTGAGGGGCCAGCCTTGCTTAACCCACTACGATCTTCTCTTAGACAAATAGACTCGAAAGTGTCTGACTGGTATATCCAGTAGCAAAAGAAGCCATAGCAAGTTTGATTGATTCATTCTTGGACTAGGTAACACACTCATATGGATCAAAATTAAGCTAGCAAAGTCTCCCTTCCCCGTCAGCTTTCCTCACAGAGACAATGTCACCAGGTTCGTGTGTCTCCTTCCAGAATATTTCATATGTGGACATGTAAATTTTTTTTTTTTTACTTTAGTTGTGGTTGAAAAAGTACATCTAAAAAAAAAAACAAAACCCAACAACAGCTGTCAGCGCGCTGCCTACAGATCTTTGCACTCCCTCCTGGAGAGGAGCTGACTGCATGACCGCGGTGACACTTGGCTCCACATGCCTCCGCTGTCCCCATCTCTGGGAACAGCATCCAGGACTCTTTTCAGATTCTGACCCCCACCAGGGGGAGTTCCTGGAGGCCCGCAGGCTGACTCCTTGGCCTCTATGCTTTACCCATGCACATGTCCTTCTGCTGGGAATGTACTTTTTTTCTCTCTCAAGCATTTCTTCAAATGTAATTTCTCTTATCAGACTGTCTTTTCTTCCTCTGTGTTCTCAAGTCATCGTATGGCACATGTTACAACAGTAAATGATGGAAGGGAATTGGAAATAATCATTGTGTTCCATCTGCCCCCCCAACTCAGGGTAGGAGCGCTCTCTTACTCATTTTGGAGTGGATAAAGTGCAGCGTGGCACTGAGAGACACAATGCAAATTGGCAAAAAGTGCAGTCAACGCTACTGTTTGGAAAAGGTGATAGCATGCATTTACAATAACTTCTGAAATTTTAAAGAGAAAGATTCCAAACCGAAATCCAACTCACTGCCAAGGAGTCAATGCGGACTGCAGCTGTGCACGGGAGTCGAAAGCCCCGTCTTTCTTCTGCGGAGCTGCTGGTGGTTTCCAACTGCTGACCATGAGGATCACAACCGCCGTGTCACCAGGGCTCCAAAAGACAAAGATAAACCTACCTACTTGATATCTGATTGCTTGATTTCAACTGATAGCAATCCTACAAGACAAAATTGGAATCCTGCAAGACAAAATAGTAGAATGGTCCCCCACATCCCCAGGCTGTAAATCTGTACAGAAACAGACTATCTTTCTACAAAGCAATTGGTGGGCTGGAACCACTGACCTTAAAGCTAGCAGCCCAATGTTTAAACCACTGTGCTCAGAAAAACAATGCCATCTAGTAGATTCCAACTTACTTCCCTATATAGGGTTTCCCAGACTGTAAATCATTACAGGAGCAGATAACCCCCTTTCAAGGTGAAAGGAGTTGGTAGGTTTAAACCTCCAGCCCTATGACTAGCAGTGCATCTGCCTAATCCATAGGCCAACCTCAACTCATTGCCGTCAACTTGATGACGGCTCATACGGATCCTATAGGGCAGGGTAGAACTTCCCCTGTGAGTTTCTGAGACTGTTTATTGGAGAAGAAAACCCATCTTTCTCCTGTGGAGTGGCTGGTGGTTTCGAACTGCCAACCTTGCAGTTTTCAGCCCAACAGGTAACCACAATGCCACCAGGGATCCTTAAAAACGAAAGATAACTTAGTTAAATTGAATAACTTAGCTGTGGAAACTGGTGGTCTTCTTTATGCTGACTGTTCATGGAATATTATGGATAACTTGCTGCTTTAGATTATAAAATTGAATTTCTTATGCCTTTCAAAGAGAAAGTTACAATTTTTCACTAAAATCAGTCCTGGGTGCTTCCAGGTAAGCCTGGTAAGCTAAACCTAAGGCTGACAGTTCAAATCCACCAGTTGGTCTGATGGAGAAAGATGAGACCATCTGTAAGATTCACAGCCTCGGAAACCACCGGAGTTGCAATCAGCCAGATGGGAACGGGTTTGGGTTAAATTAGTAGTGCTTCTCTGAGAGGTCAGTTTCAGTTTTAAAAGTTGTTAGGCTCAGTCAGCAGATCTTTGAACTCCTATTCCAGCCAAACCCCCCAAATGCTCTGCCTCTGTAGCCTGGACGCATAGCGCTGTCAAGGATGAGCTAGTGCCACATGCAGAGTTAAGGGGTCTAAGGTGGCACTGTTGGTTAGGTTGTTGGACTGCTAACGGAACATCAGTGGTTCAAATCCACTAGCCCTCTGCTGGAGAAAGATTATATATGTGTTTTTGTTTTGTTTTTTGAGTAGAGAGATGGGAACAGATGACAGACCCTGCTCCTTCTTAGGTGTGTGTCAAGGTATTAAATATAATGGTATTGTCCTGGTTCCATTCTTTATTATGATCAAAGCCTTCTAATACATATTTATGCCATGGAAGTCACTCTTTGCTCTATGTCTGCTTCTTATCAATGCAAAGAAAAGTCCTTACCGAAGGATTCCATCACCCCTAGTTTTACAGTACTAAGCTTCGTAAAAGGCCTAAGAATGATGTGTGAGTGCAGAAATTTCTCCAAGGCTTGATGGAGGACAGTGAGTTTTGGACACAAGATTATATAAAGTATTGTTTAGATCTCTTTTATTTCTCCTCATGGAGCCCTGGTGGCATTGTGGTTACCTGTTGGGCTGCTAACTGCAAGGTATGTAGTTCGAAACCACCAGCCGCTCTGCAGGAGAAAGATGAGGTTTTTCTACTCGTGTAAAGTGTGACACTCTCGGAAACCCATAAGGGCAGTTTTACCCTGACCTATGGGGTGGCTATGAGTTGGAATCAACTCGTTAGCAGTAAGGATTTTTTTTTTTTCAGTTTTCAGTTTCCCTCACAGAACTGTTCATTTTTGTGCTTTCAATGAGCCCTGGTGTCATAGTTATGCAGCAGGCCCACGGGAGAAAGAGAAACTCACAGGGATTTCTGAGTCAGCCTTGGCCTGACAGCAGGGAGTTTGCATTTTGATTTAAAGTATATTTAAAATTCTTATATGAAAACATTAAAACCTTTTAAAAAGCTTTTAACAGTCAAGTAATTTCTTTATCACGTTGAGAAAGTAATTTCTTTATCACGTTAAGAAGTAATTTCTTTATCATGTCTAACACCAAAAGGTAATTTATAACACAATAAGGTAATTTCTTTAGATTGTTGAGACTCAGTTTTCCATTATTTCCTTCTGATGGTAACTATTTTGGAGAAATTGTTGGGCTCAGCCTGCAAGCTTATCACTTAGAAAAACATAAATATACATTAACTTTAAGTATTAGTATGAGAAGGAATGGAATCTTGAGGTATCATTTTTGTGGGAAGCAATAATATTAATTGTACCAATAAAGGGAGCGAGAAGAACCCCTTGGCGAACAGCAGCTTCTCGATGACGAGAACCAATAGGACGACGCTCCGTAGACTGAAGGACGGCGCTTGCGTTGCAGACTCAACTGGCGCCCGCCCTCCTGCTTTTTCTCCAGCCGCCCTTTCCTCTTTCTTTCGCGCTCTAGTCACCCAGGAACGCAGGCGTAAGCGTCACTGGCCTCTGATTGGCTCCTTTGAAAGTCTACGGGCTATCTGATTGGTGGATCCGAGGCCCTTTAGCGCGGTGACTTTGAAACTGCGTTCACTCAGTTTCAAGCCTGGCTGGTGGAGACAGGGGAGAAAGCGACCGGGAGGTGGTAGCCACTGCCGCCGCGGCCGCCGTCGCCCGTACCGCCGCCGGGTAAGCCGGGTAGAGTCGCAGGGCACAGGGTCGTGCCCACGGGGTCCTTTCGGCGGGGCTGCGGGTGGGGGATTGAGGAATGCCGTGGTGTTTGGGGAGCGCTGCTGGGCTTCACGAGGGAGGCCAGGGCCGGAACCTCAGGACCCCGGGACCCCGGGACCCCGGGACCCCGGGCCTAGACGAGTATGTGGCGGCCGCGCCCGACTTAGGGGGCGCCCCGGCCGCGGTGACCCACTCCGCGGAGTGCCGGGGCCCCTCTGGCTTCGGAGTGGCAGTCCGGGGTCGGGGTCGGGGTCGCGGTCAGAGGCGGCTCTTTTGGGCAGAGGCCACCTACTTAACTGAGGAGGTTTCCGGTCACCGTGCGGACAGGGGTGCCAGCAGCATCAGCATTGTTCGAGGAGCTGCTGGGCTACGGCCTCGACCCCGCGGCCCAGGCCTGACTGCTGTTCACTAGGGTTTCAAGGTGGGTAGAGAGCCCTCTCCTGCCTGGGGACCGATGCCAGACCCCCAAACCGGCCGGTCGGCCCCCAGAAACTGACCGATGAACTTGTGTAACTTAGGCCATGCGTGCCCTGAGCTCCAAGACAACAGAGCGCCCTCTCCCCTCCCCAACCCACGCTTTAAAAAGAACAATGTTTGTAGTTACGTACCACGGGATTGGCGTAACGTGCAAAGCTTCCGGGGGATCGAAACGTGTTCTTTTAATACGAATGTCAAGGCCTTTAATCAAGCTTTGTCTCATGTTCTGCTTCCTAGTCTGAGGGTCTCTGCACTGGAAGACTGAGCTCCCCCAGAATGTCTTCAACAGAATACACCTAATAATACTGCCGAGCCTGAGTATATTCCAGACGCATTCTAGAGCATGTTTTGCTCCAAATGGGTACAACTGGAGAGTGGAATCCAGCTTTGAAATGGACCTTTTAGATAGTGATTCAGAGGGAGAAATAAGCAATTGTATTGTGCATCAGGCATATGAAATGTAGTTATTCAGGAAAAAAACCCACAGTTGTCCTAAGTTCTCCACGGACATTTTATAAAATTGGAAATCCACACCCAGCGCAGCTTTGGTTCCATAAAATTATTTAATCACTGCCACTTTGTTTTGGTGCTCACCGCACCCCTCCATGGAGGTAGCAGGCAGGGGTCAGCCGTTAGTGGGATGAAAACTATGGGGTTCTCTTCCCATAAAGATTTCCAATCCTAGAAACCCAAAATCCGGCCTGTGCAGTCCCTGTGAGTCAGCATTGACTCGATGGCAGTGGTTTTGGTTTTGGTACAAAGATGGGTACTAAAAATAGGGCCTGCTAGTCTGGGTCCTTTCATGATTTTGTCATCAGTAGGCTATGTTTTTTTGCCAGGTAATTATTTTGGACTTTGCGGTTTCCTTCATTGGTCAACTGCAGAGAAAGTTTTGAGGGTCTGGTGTCAGCAAATCAGTGTCTCTACCCCCTTTAAAAAATATTTTGTTGGATATACACAGCATAACATGCACCAGTTTGACTGCTGTGCAAGTTCAGCTCATCACTTGTGCAACTATTTCCACTCCTTTTAGTCCCTCCATTAAACTCCCCTAAGGGCTATGTGGTTATTTTTGAGTTGCTGTTGGCAATCTTATTCCCTTTAGATGGTTCTTTGAAAGAGGCCAGTGCCTAAGGCAGCCATTCTTTACTAGTTGGTCTGAACTATTTCCTTTTAGAAGGCTTGAGGGTGTTTTTTGGTTTAAGCTCTGTCTCTGGATACAGAGATAAAGTTATAGAAGTTCTGTTTTGTCAACAGAAGTTTTTGTTTGGGGGGTGGGGGTTGGGGTGTTTTGCTCACTACTTTTTCACTTGGTTCTTGATGCTGTACTGGGCATGATTAGATGTTTATATGTGGGTTTGTACTTTTCCTCCTTTCTTAGGATGCTCAGTGATAGTACCTATGTTTGCAAGTAATACCCGGAAAGACGTGATAGTTAAGCATGCTTGTGTATGTGACTGCTAAAAATGAAAAAGCAACCTTAAAACTGCCACATGAGTAACTCTACATCGTTTTGGTGTTTTAGGCATACACCAATGGATGAGCAGTCAGCAGTTTTTCAGCTTCTTACACATGTCATTTGCAATTTTTTTCTTTTTAATTAACATCTTCAGAAAAATCAGCATACAAACAGTACTATTTGCTACTATATTGGTATGACTGACCTAGGTACCCTGCTCACTTGCCCATTTTTTGGTTGTTTGGAGCGATGGACTTTTGTTGGTGTCTTGATTTGAAAGTTGATTTAAGGAGAAGCTCAATGCTAGTGTGCAATATTCAGTTTATAAGATTCAAAGAGGCTGGGACAATGTTATTGCAAGTGTCCTTATTTTTGTTAATACCTCCCATGTGAATATTATGTATTTATTGTATATATTATGTATTTCATAATAATATATGTGAATATTATGTATCTAATACAATTATTGAACCATCAGTATGCCATCAGTATAAAATACATATGAATACAGTAATGTATGTAGAATACTTATTATGAACTGTATTCACACAGCTAAGATTTTGCTTATAGTTACTTAAAACCACCTGTTGAATTAGTGGTAGTGTGCTCCTTTCAGCAGCACACACATTAGAAATTGAGTTAGTAGTGTGTAGTCAAACCAGTTTTGTTTTTCCCCTCATTTTAGGATCTGCAATAAGTATTGAGTAACCATGGAAGATTATATCAAAATAGAGAAAATTGGGGAAGGTGAGTTCAACCTCTAAGGTATCCCCTAGTACTAATATCTAAAAACTGTTTGCTACCTAATGAATTAGATGTAACAAATATTCATGTCTGGAGAATTAAAATCATTGTAACATTTGTGGCTCCTAATGGCCCCTCTCACAAAATCTTAAGTTCTCTTAATAGTAAACTTAGTTAATGGTATTTTGAAACTAACGGTGATGGCTTGTGTGTGGTGGGATCCATTATATGTTCATTTCATATATTTTTTCTTGTATTTAAGATGCCCTGGTGGTGCTTTGGTTAGGCTTTGGGCTGCTAACCGCAAGGTTGACAGTCCGAGGCCCCAGCTGCTTCATAGTAGAAAGATGAACTAAATGCTTCCATGAAGACAGTGTCTCAGAAACCTTATGTGGGCTTGCTGTGAGTCAGAACCGAAAGGATGGCAAGTAGTCCTTTGACAAAAAACCCAGATATACTTAAATACTTCTTAAACTCATCCTAAGCTAATTTTGCTGCAGAATTAAAAGATAGCAACAGGGACTGCTGCATCATCATTCAAAATTGGAAGACCTGTGTAGTGGATTCTTTAACCTCATTCAGTTTTCACACTGAACAGAACAATCCATGTGTATGTGAGAAACATGGCTTCAGGATGGGAGCTATGCTCATTCACAACCTGCATTATGCAGATGAAAGCTTCACTTGCCAAAAATGAAGTCCACTTGAAGCCCTTTAACTGATTTCCTATAGAAGACACTTGAGTGTGAAAATGATTCTCACAGCTGAAGTGCTACACAGCATCATGATCAATAGAGGAAAAATAGAAACTGCCAATTATTTTGTTCGACTTTGAAGCAACAGTTGGTGTCCACGATGCATTGTGTTGCACAAAAGACCTCTTTAAAGGGTTTCTACGCAAAGATGTTACTATGAGGAATAGGGTGGGCCGGACTGAAGCTGCGTCTTTTTGGTTGCCCTATACCCATTTGGAAACTGGGCCGTGAAAAACGGGAACATTGCGGTGTTGGCGAAGTCACCAGCAGACTGTTCATTAGAAGTGTGGCCAGTGAGGCTCGCTTGCTTTGGACAAACCACCAGGAAGACGAGGAAAGGCTGGATCGTGTTGGAGGGTCGTGAAAAAGGGTTAGTGTTTCTGCAGGTGGATGGGCCTCAAACACAGCAACAGTCATGAAGATGGCACCAGACTTGGCAGTGCTCTCTGCTGATAAACGAGGTTATCTCTCCTCTTGAGTCAGAGCCAACACAGCCTCCACCAACAACATCTGGCACAGTGAAGCCAGTATTTTAGGCAGCCATTTTATAACCCTGTTATGTAGTTTTTCCTTTTCAAAAGAACATTAAATACAACAAAGATTATAAAACATTTGGTGAATGTTCAAATAGTCTTTAATATTCTCAGCAGGCCAGTATATTAAGGTCTGAGTTTTTCTCGAGAAAAGCTGTAGGCCGTCCTCGGTTGCACTCTCCCACTTTTGCAATTGTTGGGTTCCAGAGAAACCAAGGGCTGGGATTTAGCAGCACTTCAGTTGAGGAAGCCAGGGCCACGCCCCGGGATAAAGAGCCCTTCTCCAAGTCCCATGTTTGATCTAACCTTGCAGCCACGCCCCTACCATAAGATTGCTGATGTTGACCTTTCTGTTCAGGGTCTGAAGCCCATTTAATCAGGCCATTGAACTTCCTGTGGCTCACCCACTATGTAATAAAGGATGTGAACTTTTTTAGCTTCAATTATTTCACAGAAAGCCTGGTCTTTAACTTTTCATTCTTTTCTGGATAAAGAGCTGATCTTTCTGAGATATATATAAAAGCTTTACAAAGCATAGCACTAGAATTTTCTGGAAGTTTCACAGTGGCAGTACTTTCTGGACTCAGTGTTTACTTTGCATTTTATTGGGTAGAGTAGCTGATAGAAGACAATACCAAATTGTAGAGGATCTGTTTTCTCTGAACTATGCTGGGGTGTTAATGTGTGGTAACATGTATTTGTGAGAGGTTGCAATTATTTTCAATTTTGCTCTTGAAGAAATGATGTTATAATTATGCTTGAATACTTTTCAAATGGCAACAACAAACATTTCTAATAAGTAATTCAAACATATTTAGAATATTTTGTTTCAGTTTTGTGGGTCTCACACAGCAGGCTTCTGTCTTACAGGTACCTACGGAGTTGTGTATAAGGGGAGACACAAAACTACAGGTCAAATTGTAGCTATGAAGAAAATCCGGCTAGAGAGTGAAGAAGAAGGGGTTCCAAGTACTGCAATTCGAGAAATTTCTCTGTTAAAAGAACTCCGTCATCCCAATATAGTAAGGTATGCCACAGTGTGTGAACTGAAGACATGTTCTGTGTGCCATTTCAAATGGAGGTTTCAGCGTGGAATTTCTTAGATTTGCTTCGTTTCTGGTGTAATTTGGATAAGTGGATAGAATCCATTGTTTAGTTGAGAATGGATGAAAGAGAAGAGGTTATAGTCATGATCTCTCCTCGTCCGAAAGCTCCATTCTCCTGAATACTCCTTCCTACAGTTCTAAGACATGTATGTAGGAAGAAGTCCCTGTTGGGCTGTTCCTTAAGCTCAGGGCTGGTAGTCACATCGTTGATAGTTCAAACCCATCAGCTACTTCTCTTGAAGTAAAATTAAGCTATTAGCTCTGAATAGTTATAACTTCAGAAATCCTATATAGAAAGAATTATTGTGAATCACGATCAACTTGATGTGTGATATCTGAACACAATACAGTAAATAAAATAACTTAATTTTATTATGTTCTGTTTAAAGTTTTTGGAATGGTACACTACCATGGGCTTCACTTTAGCATTCCCACACATCAGAGTGATAGCATAGAGGCTTGGCAATGCTTTTTCCTCTTTAGTAATAAAGGTCCTATGGGTCATTTACTACCCCAAAAGTGCAATTTTGTCACAGTTGAACACGTATCGGGGAGCAAAACCCTCAGTCTCCTTGAATTCAGTAAACTGACCACTCCTTTATTGGCTTGATCGGTATTTGCACTGCCTCTTCCCCATGTGCTTGCCTGTTCTCTTGTTGGAGTTTTCAAACGAGCCACGACTGGCTTTGGACATTTCGGGATGCTCAGCACTTGCTCCGACAATGCTTTTCATTAAGTCATGGAGACGTTTAGCCTTCACGTGTCACGGCTCCGATACTCTATTACCATCTAGTTGTTTGGATTTTCCCAAATTAACAGTAACTTTTCAACCTCTTCCATGGTCTGCGTTTTGTTTCATGCTTAATGGTTTCAAACTTTGCATTACATTAGTTTAATTATTCCGCGCCCCCCCCCCCCCAAATGTTGATAATGTAGACTTAGCCATGTATTCTGCTGGCAAATCAGACAAGCAACTGCTGACTCCAGTTTCACAATGATTTCACTGTACGGTGGTTCTCACAATTTCCCTTTCAGCTTTACTGCTGGTATCGCTAAATTTCTATGGAGCCATGGTTACCATATTCTACATAAATTAAGTGGTTTAACACACAACATGTACATGTGTTGTCTGAGGAGACCAGGGCTTGGACTGAAGTGCGGGATGTGTGGTGGGATGCGGCTCACCTGTCAGTAACAAAAAGGGTTTTCAGTTTGATTACGGGGCAAAGTTACAAACACCGAGCAGGATTTTTTGAGCTTTGCGCTTTGCGTAGTGGAAAGTGCAAGCTTGAGCTGCTTGACAACCGAGACAGCGCTGTTTCTATAGTTATTGCAGGGGAACAGCTTAGATATGTTCCTTTGTAATGTAGATTACAGGTGGATGGCTCCTGTATGAAACCTCAGGTTTCATTTTAAATCCATCCTATTGGTTACTTCTAAGGTTTTATCTACGAAGTGAAGCCAAAAGGTTTTTGGACATAATGGAATTAAAGAAAATGGACTTTTTAAATGGTTTTTTTTTTGAAGCCCCTTTGAATTAGGGAAAACTTTCCTAAAATGCACTGCTACATAGAGAGTTTGTTATGGCTAGCCACAGTGAATTTAGAGAAGAATTTTATTTTGTGGAAGAGACATTAATATGTATTTACTAGATTTTTTTCTCATAATTGTCTTATTCTTTAGTCTTCAAGATGTGCTTATGCAGGATTCCAGATTATATCTCATCTTTGAGTTCCTTTCCATGGACCTCAAGAAATATTTGGACTCTATCCCTCCTGGTCAGTTCATGGAGTCTTCACTCGTCAAGGTAAAACCAGTACCTTGTTTCATTAGTAATTTGTCCCTTTGTGAAGTTAAAGAGGCAACTGGATCAACTACATGTAATCTGTAATTTGTGGGGATATATGTTAGGAGAATGCAGAGCAGAATAGTTCATTTTTCCCCCAAACAGGTATTCCAGTGATAAGGTTACTGGCAGTTACTCATTTTAGTAAGGAATTCCGATGGTGCATTGGTTAAAGCATGCGACTGCCTACCACATGGTTGGCCATTCAAGGCCTCCAGGTGCTGTGTGGAGAAAGGTGGCAGTCTGCCTCGGTCATGACCACAGTCTTAGAAACCCTGGGGGCAAATATCAGCCCTAATGGTTTGCTAAGAATTGCAATGGACCCCACAACCGTGGGCTGGCTTGGTGAACCTGTTTTTATTATTGGAGAGTTTTTCACTTAAGTACCAGGAAGAGTAGTGCCTCTTGGTAACATTTGTGTTGCTTTGATCCCTGCCCCTCCCCAAATGACCAGTCAGTTCCAACTGGTTGGTTTTGTGTATTATGCCAATGCTGTTACTATGTATGCTCAATAACAATATTTACTCCAAATGTCAAACACCTTAGTGACAAAGGTCTTACACAAGATTTACTTCTGATTTGTTAATAGTACTTTATGATGATTGAATTCATTGTAATAACTACATGCCATTTCTTTTGAAATCTGACCAGTGTTCCCAGAGAGAAAATTGATGTGTAAGTAAAGATGGAAGTGGAAAGGATCAGTGTACAGCTGTCCTGAAGGTTGGCTCTTCCAACCCCCACAGCAGTACCGTGATGAGGTCTGGCAGTCTGCTAGTCACGAGTGCAGCCAAGAGAACCGAGTGGCGCAGTTCTGTTCTAGCACTGTGATTACCACGTGTTAGAATTGATTCAGTAGCAAAAGAATTTTGGTGTTTTTTTCTTGTTATGCAAAGTAGAAATGGGGTTGACAGGTGAATCTAGAACAAAGTTCCAGGAGCTTTCTATACAGAAAACTAGTGATTTAAAACAAATCATAAAAAATAAGTTAGAGGAGGGACCACATAAGACTGCATGGATTCATGTGACTATGTCCATCCCAATGGACTTCATACCTTCTGATGCTTCCTATTAACCTCCAAAGGCCTGAGAACATTTTTGGAGAGTAAATGATTTCCTGTATTATGCTTTCTAATGGCCTTAAAACAAGCTCATAAAGATTATTTAGGAACATGTGATTGTTTCTCATTTATATTTTGTGTTTTTCCAGAGTTATTTGTACCAAATCCTACAAGGAATTGTGTTTTGTCACTCTAGAAGAGTTCTGCACCGAGACTTGAAACCACAGAATCTATTGATTGATGACAAAGGCACAATTAAACTGGCTGATTTTGGACTTGCCAGAGCATTCGGAATACCTATTAGAGTATACACGCATGAAGTAAGTAGAGGCGGAGTGTGAGTGTGTGGTTATTGTGTTACTTTCTATATTCTGTAAGCCAAGGCCGTAATTATCCAGATTCTCCTGTTGCTAGTGTTCATTTAGGAGCCTGGTGGCATAGTGGTAGCAACACGTTGGGCTGCTTCCGTAGGGTTGGGGTCAACAGTGGGAGGCTTTCTCCTCCCATCAAGAGTTACAATTTTGGAAACCCCACATGGGCAGTCCCTCCCTGCCCTACAGAGTCAGTATTAATTTATTATCTCTCGGCTCCAAATTCACTCTCCATTGCATGTAATGTGAAGTTATGAACTAGGACCTTTAACTGTTGTCATGTGTCAGCCTTGTGAGTATGTGGTGTTGGAGAAACGATGTACGCAGAGCAAACTTTTCTCTAAAAGTCTGCTTGTTGGTGGTAGTTACACCTCTATTTCAATCCCTGTTCCATTTAATTATGTTAAAATTTTGTTTCTTAGTAATGTACAGTTTATTTATTATTAGAAGTTCACTGAAAAAAGACAGTGCACTGAAAAAAGACACTGAAAAAAGATAGGTTAAAGGACATTTTGTTGCTCAAAGGGTACTGTTCGGGGATTCAAGGGATACATTCAGAAGCTACCAAACATGTTATCAGTGATATGAATGACTTGGCTTTTCGTTTGGTATCTTCAGGGGGAAGGGAATGTTAAATACGTACAAGCTTATTGGAAAAATGTCTTCCGAAGATTGTTCCCTGATGAAAAACATAACAGCTCATCTGATTAGATAGCTTTGCTTTTTTCTATCTCTCTTTTTATCTTCCCTTCCATTGCTCTAAATCAGTGTTGTCCAAAGTAAGTATGTTGTTGAAACACCCCTCCCCTCCCGCCCAAGGCAGTCCTGGAATGATCCAGGGAGCTGCAAAAGTAGATATCTACACTAAGCTAGATTATGGGGCTACCCTACAAAGGTTTTTAATTGTAGCGGGAAGGGCGGGGTAGGCCAAATAAAATTGGGACCTATGACCTAAATAAAGATTATTTGGTTCCCATTGGTTAAAATAAAAGAAACCTCTTGTTCAATGTTTGAAGTGATGTTTTCAGCCATGATGAAATATTTTATTTACTAAATGATTAGTTCTGGACTAGTAGTAAACCGGTCTGTTTCTGGATATCCTTTTAGCTTGTAATCTATACCTGTCTTTTGATGTCAACACCAAATCCATATTCAATGATGTGAAAAGATGAGGCTTTCTCATGCTCTGTTCCTTTTGTTTTCATGATTTGGTATGATTTTACCAGCTCCCTCTAATAGCTGGCCTTGGTAAATGAAATCTTTTTCTTTTATATTTTGTGTATAGTTAGCTGAAGACCATCCGTGTGAATAGAATATTTAGCTTATTTAATGCACTGTATTTATTCCATGTAAAAACATGTTTCCCGGTAGGTGGTGACTCTCTGGTACAGATCTCCGGAGGTCCTGTTGGGGTCAGCTCGCTATTCGACTCCAGTGGACATTTGGAGTATTGGCACCATATTTGCGGAACTAGCAACCAAGAAACCACTTTTTCATGGGGATTCCGAAATAGATCAACTCTTCAGGATTTTCAGGTAATTTTGGTGTTTTATCTTATGGTTTAATAATTTTAAGTTGAGAAATAATGGAAATGTGTGTGTGTGTGTGTGTGTGTGTGTGTGTATGAGCTTATATTTATGCTTTAATAATTCTTTGTTTTGTTGTGGGTTTCAGAGCTTTGGGTACTCCCAATAATGAAGTGTGGCCTGAAGTGGAATCTTTGCAGGACTATAAGAACACCTTTCCTAAATGGAAACCAGGAAGCCTGGCGACCCATGTAAAAAACCTGGATGAAAATGGCTTGGATTTGCTCTCGGTGAGGAAAAGCTTTTATACGGACTAAGTTGCTGAGTTTTACTACCGTTTTCAGCTTTCAAATTTTTGTTGGTGGCATTTGTAGTCTCTTAACTACTAAACCCTGTATTTAATGTTGACATGGCTTCTTTTCTGTTGCTTGATCCATGTGAGTTTTTAAAACTTTTTATTGCATGAGTGCCATTTCTTATTTAATGCTTAGTGTCCATATCAGAAAGAATAAAACTGATGCTTAAAAATCCTTCTCTTTAAAGAGAAAGCAAAATATGATTGTCCTAGTCTTGCCGAAGGAATTTTGTTTTACGTGATCAATGCTGATTTGATTCAAAGTCCCTTCCATATTCTGGACTCAGTCTGCCTCTAAGGACATATATTTCTTGGACACAAAGACTCACTTCAATTAGAAAGAAACAAAAGCAGTACTGTAAATCAGTATCTGAACCCTAGTCACTGTTGACTTGCTTGTTTAGTTCTTTGATGCTGGGGCTGTGTTAGTAAATTATAGAATGTTTGGCCAATAGATGCCTGTAGCCATAATATGATAATGTGTCAGGTTCCATGTTGACTTCTTAGTAAAAGTACACAGGTATTTCTAGTCTGCCAGTTAGACTTTTTAAATAAAGTGAACTTTACTGTTTTCTTAGATATGTAAATTAATCAGACTAGGTTTCTTTAACCGTAATTTAGTGTCTCGTTTTGGGCTGTGTTTATATCATGTCTCCTCTTTTAAATGTGGAACTTGCAGGGAAAGCTATATTAGAAACCACTAATGCCACTATTTTAAGAATGTTGTCAATAATTTAGGATGACCATTTAATTGTCAAATAAATATAATTACTAGTTATCTTAAATTTAAATCTTGGTTTTCATGATCTCTCATTGCATGTCTTAACCATAATCCCTAACAAAACGTTATTGAGAAGTAGGAGGCTAGAGCTAGCTGGCGCCATGTGTGGATTCGTATGGAGCCAACGGAAATGCCCATTCGGTACATTTACATTAAAATTTAAGCTTCCTGCTTATTGGTAGATGAGGTAAATGGTTTCAATGGTTCATTTCCTAGATAAATAAAAACCATATTTCTTTTTCTCTTCATTTCCATAGAAAATGTTAGTCTATGACCCTGCCAAACGCATTTCTGGGAAAGTGGCACTGAATCATCCATACTTTAATGATTTGGACAAGCAGATTAAGAAGATGTAGTTTTCCGACAAAAATGAAGAAATTTGTGTTTCAAGAACAGATAATCCTCCCTGCTCTCACTGTTAACTCTGTTTTGCTTTTTGTGCTTTTCTCCGCTGTAAAACTTAAGCTGTACTTCATTTTCTGATTTCTAAAGTGTAACTTAATGTAAATATTGTTCTATATGAATTTAAGTATATTCTGTATATGTGTGTAGGTCCCAATATAACAATTGTTACTGCAATAAAAGTGCAGATCTAGTATTGACGTCAGGAATCAAGACACATGTGAGCTGGCTTCAGTTACCTCAACTCTCAGTAACCCTGTTTTCCTGGAGATTTCCACGCTGGAATTAGTGTGTTCACTTTTATACTGCTCGGAAGTGTTTTTCAGTCCCTGGTGTTTACATTTTTATGTCAGCTTCTTGTCACATAATTATATATGTTGTCTACAGATTGCTTTATTTCTACTGGCATTTCAATTCGACCATTTAGGGTTAAGATTTCAGAATGAGAAAAATGCTCAAATATGATGCTTAGGTTTTGGAGAGTTTTCAGTGAATTATAAAACTACCACTAAGGAATGCCAAAATTATGCTAAGTTGTACTGTCAAAGATCAAGAGCTGTCCATATCTGGAAAGAACAATTTTGAAAATTTATAAGCTTTCCTATTTTTAGTTAGGTTGTAAAGCTATTTGTCTATCGCTTCTTGGCCTTTTGGCTCAGATCAAGTGGAGTATCTGTTCTTATCAGTTTAACATCTGATATGTCCTCTATCCGAGGACAATATATTAAATGGAATTTTGGAGCAGGGAGATGGAATAGGAGCTTCCTCCGTCCACTCCACGCATCAACCTGGTATTGCAGTACTTCCAGGAACGGTGCACCCCCTTGGGGGACTCAGAAAGAAAAAAAAAAGCTATTTGTCTAAGTGAATTCTCAACCCTTGGTTAGAAATAATAACGATATGTAGGAGTTGCTTGTCCTGGATGTCAGTAATCTGACTTTAAAAAATTACATATTTTTGGCATAGTGTTTGTTAGGAACCTCTTAAAGGCTTCTAAGATTCAAATATTTAGCTAAAAATCACTAAATTGTTTTATATTGCTGCTGATTATTACCTATAAGCAGCTTGTTTTATATTATTGGATAAAGTCCAGAGAAATGTCTGTAAAGGTAGTTTGTGTGTGTGTGCATTTATCACTTTGACCAGCCAGTATCTTCTCTATTTTTCTGGTTACATGTGGTCAGAAGGGTAGTCAGTCTTGTGTTGCTGATCCTTAGACCCAGTTGATTAGATAGCGTTAACTAAGCCCCTTGTCTTGGGCTTTACACTCTGTAGGAGAGTGTAGTTTAGTCTCTTGACCATATTCAATGTGGGTTGCTGTGCTCTAGGGCGTTGAATGGCAGTCAGTAGCGTCTGGACATTCAAGCAGTTTGGGGTTAGATTGATGCCAGTTGCAAGATTTCTGTTAGGGATTGTAAAATTAATGCCTACAGGCATGTTTTCACAATTCCAGGGACATATTGAAGATTAGATTTTAATGTGGATTGTAATCCTTTCAGATTTTTAGGATCAGCATTCACACACAAAAACTAGCAATTAATCTTAGTATGAATAGTGTCTTGGTATCAAGATAATTTTTGTTTCACCATTTTTGGGTGTTCCACATGTTTGCAGTCTTTTGAATATGGTCCGGAAGCAGTATTCAGCCATATTGCTTGATGCATGAGATCAGAATTGTTTGGAAATAGGCAATACATCAATTTAGGACATACTTGGTTGTAATGTGAGTAACCAGCTTCAAACATTTGAGTTCTTGTGTGAAATATTTCAACTATGTAACTCAAAAGAGATGAGTGATATCAGAGGTTTCATCTCATGGTTTGTGTTATGGTGCTTCTGGTGAATATTTAACTGGGTGTTATCTTTACCACCATGGTTCTTACAACTTGTACACTAGAGATGCCTGGGTATTGGCTCTCGCCTTAGCCTAATTAGCTCTGATATTGTAAATCGAGAAAGGTACCCCAGGAATCTTATCTTTTTAAAGATGGTACTCGGTGCTTCTGATATAGCCAGTTACCATAAGTTAGAGAGCTTTAAGGCATATGCCTAGTTTCAGTTTTCTGGAAATGTGTACTGTGTCTCTTAGGTTATCTGGCTTGGAGTGTAACTATGACTGACACTGCTTCAGTCTACACTTTGGTGGAGCAGAGGATCTATATATTTCCTCCCCAATATAAAGTTCCCATAAAATTGAATATGACCCTTTTCTAACAAGGACTTTTAATGTCTCCAATCTCTGTAATAGGATTTTTTCCTTCATTTTGAAATTAAAATACAGAGGAAATGATACTGAAGTTAAACGTAATGTGCAATAAACCTCTACTAATTTCTATGTTGTTATTGCATGTGTGAAGCCATTTGGAAAGCCATTGCCATTGAGTCAGTAGGACGGTGTAGAACTGACTGCTGCTTAGTTTCTAAGACTCACTTTTCATGGAAGTCATTTCATCCTCACCCTCATTTTGAAAGAACGGCCTTATTTTTAGAACATAGTTTGTTTTTGTTTTTTCTCGTAAGGCCAGATGTACTGCCCTAAAAGGTTTCCGTGATCAGAGGAGCCCTGAGATGATTGTCGTGGGCCACCCGTAAAACTACTGAAAGTCACTCCCGGAAGTCAACCTTCAGCTGCAGTAGAACCCTGGTACTTGACCGCATCAGTACTTGACACAATTGGATTTTGACCCGAAAGGTTGATAGTTAGCATTGTTAGTATGCCTTGCTTAAACCTTTTGTGGCTGTGCTCTGAGCATTTTGCTATAATTTTCTTAGTTTTTGTGGCTTTTTGTACGGTTTCTAGATATAAAACGGGTCCTAAGAAAGTTTTTTGAAAAGAATCATGAGCTAGTTAACTGTTATCGATATTGTTGATAATTTAGTAAACCCTTCTTAGAAAACAGTTAAAGAAATGCCAATAGCAGGCCACATTAGACAGATTTTGTTTTAGAGAAAGCTAGCCAGGTCCTGGTGAAAGAAGGCAAAAAGCTGAAAAGCAGCTGTCAGTAGATTTTATGGGAGAGGGAATTCCCTTCCAAACAAGGACTCTCTCCACACCTCCTCCCCACATCTCTCCACAGATCCAGGTCCTCTTCAAGGTATGGGTCATACTGTAGTTAATTTTTAAATTTATTTTTTAATTTTTTCAAAAAAACTTTTTAAGTGTGTTTCTTGCTTATATTTTTTAACTGAACATATTTTGAAATTTCTATGTTACGTTTTATATAAAAAGGCAAAGTTAGGGTAAAAAGTTGGTGGTCGAGAACAGATTAGTCAGTTTTCAGTTATGGGAAAACTTTATTCGGAACTCGACTGCATTTCGATGCTAGAATGGATTAGCGTCAAGGTCCAGGTTCTACTGTAAACAGGTTGATGCATAATATCACGTGGGAGTACTGGACTCTTAAAATCATCCGCATGAGACCAGATAGCAAAGTTGAGGAAGAAGGGCAGGAAACGAGATTAACATCCAACCAGGGAAGAAGGAATAGTGTCAACACATGAAATGTAATGTCACCGGATCATGAATTGAGATTGTCACAGGAGAACCTGTTGGCTGTGGAAACGTACTCCTAGTAACACTGAAATTCAAATTTAAACAAGATGGATCTCTTGGGAGTTGAGAAATAATAGGTCAAAACGGATGTCTTTAAATCATGGACCACGTAGGGACTTCAGTGGTATGGGCATGCGTGATGGCTCTGAAGAGGAAAGGTTAAGTGCCATTGAGCCATTTCCAATTGGTAGCGACCCAATGTACAACAAAACGCAACACTGCCCAATCCTTGCAATTGTTCTGTTTGAGCCTCTTGTGGTCACCTTATCTTCCACTACCCCTCCAGGAAGCATATCTTTCTCCAGGGATTGGGCTCTCCTGCCATGTCCAAAGCCCTTGGGACAAAGTCTTCCCGTCCTTGCCTCAGAAACATCCTGGTTGTATATGCAAGACAGATTTCTTTATTCCATTGGCAGCCTAGGAGATTCTCAATAATAGAAATGCATCTTATTTGCTGTCCATAAGGGGTTTATTCACATGCAGATGAGACCATTGAAAATACCCTGGCTGGGGTATGGGGAGAGTACATCTCAGTCCCCTGCTGGGACTAAGCATGTCAGCTCTTAGCCTGGTTTAAACGGGGATAGGGCAGAATGGTACAGTGAACCAATGGGAACCGGGAGGAGTGGTAGTTTGGTGAGAGGAGTGAAGTCGTAGCGAAAGATTTGGAAGGAAGAGGCATTTTTCATTTCCATCCCACGTAAGTGCACTCTGAAAAGCCCTTCAGAAAAGTATGGATGTTGAGGAAAATGGTAATATATATATAATTTAGTGTGTCAAAAATCTGTTTTCCCTAATGACAGGTTTGTAAAGGAGACAAGTAGGTGCATATGAAGAAACTGACTTCAGGTAAACACAGCGGTGGCAGTGTAGGCTTCAGAGGCAAACATGAGTATTTGGCTCTCGGTTCTAAGATTTCTGTCTGTAGTCTTGATAAAGTCATTTAGCTCTGAGTCAGTTCCCTTGATCGGACAATGTTGGAAGAGGCCATCATAGTGACCCTATATGTGCAATACGACCACGCCCTCCTCATCCGCAATTATATTTGAGTCCATTGTTTCCAAGGGGCATTCTCACTACTTCCACCTCAAATCACTTTTGGCTGTCTGTGGTCTATTTAACAGTGACAATATCAGTGCAAAGGCATCACATCTTTCGTCTACTTTTTACATCTATATGAGGTAGTTACAAATACCATCCTCTGGGTCAGGGACTCAGTCCATAAGGTGACATCTTTATTTTTTGTTAACACTAGGAAGAAGTCGGAGTAGAATTGCCCATGCAATGATTTCCTGATTGTTGCTTCCAGTGGTGTTGATTCTCAACAATTGGACAAAGGGGGTATCGTGCATACACATGTTGTGAGTGTTGGAAGTAGAGTTGCAAGAGGGACATGTTCTTAATGGTTTTATCATGTACCTTAGATTTGTCAGGATGCCCCAAAAGCTCTGTGTTAGCGTTTCAATATGTTACAAACATTGAGAGTTAAGAGTCATTTTCTGCCACAGTAATTGGGGTTTCAGTTTTTTAAACCCTGATTGGGCAACACTGGTTTGAGTGAATAGTTAAGCAAACGTATAATAGATTCCCATTGTGAAATGATCCCTAATTAACTATCTCCAGCTTTTCCTATCTTCACATCCACTCCCTTGGAATGTTCAACCTTCCAGTTCAAATACTTCCATACCTGGGAAAGATTCCCTAGAGATAGAAGCGATATCTTTCTCTGAGTTTTTAAAGTCTTTTTCTTCGTGTCTTGAAATACTTTTTTTTTTTAAAGATCATTTTATTAGGGGCTCTTACAGCTCTTAAAACAATCCATACATTAATTGTATCAAGCATATTTGTATACATATTTACTTTCTATTGAGTCCTTGGTATTAGCTCCTCTTTTTTCCTTCCCACCCTTGTGACCCCTTGATAAATTATAAATTATTATTTTCATAACTTACACCAACTGTTCTCTCTCCCCACGGTTTCTGTTCTTTGCCCTACCCTTCTGGTATTGCTACTCCTGTTCCTGGATTGCACGTGTCCTGTATATGTACACATGCTCCACTTTACGCTGAAGTGGAAGGACTGGGGTCATGATAGTAGGGGGTAGTGGTGTG